ACACTATTACCCGACAGGTTAGTTTTGCAATTGACCAAAACAAAATAGTAGACTTCTTATGCAGTCTACTTTTTTTTTCTAAGTTTTGTAGACTGCATATGATGTCTACACGTAAAGTAAGTTTTTTTCTAAGTTTTGTAGACTGCATATGAAGTCTACACGTAAAGTAAGTTTTAGTCAAATACAAAAGAAACCTATTAAACGAAGTCAAAGTTTTGGTCAAATGCAAAACTGACCTTCCGTAGACTTACCTAGCAGTCTACAAACTGTAGACCTTCACGAAAGTCTACTCTGGTAAGTCAAAATTTTGGTCAAATGCAAATCTAACCTGTTTTATGTAGATTTCTTAGTAAGTCTACCAATTTTTTTGTTTTTGGTTTCAAAGGTAAAGATGTTGACGTACTTGTAGGTCTACATTACAAAAAAAATTATTTTGNTAGATGAAAATAGAGAGGAAATGAAGTATTGTTTGTTTAGAAAGTGAAATAAGTGGTTGAAATTTCATAAACACAAGCTTAAAGAGCTCATCAATGGTGGTTTTGGGTGGTTGCAAATATTGATGACAATGGCATTATGGTAAATAAGGAGAAATGTTTAGGGTGTAATAGGTTTTTAATAATTTTCGAAAATAAAATCTGATTTAAATATAATGGCAATTTGGTAAATAAGTGGAAACATGAGGAGAGTTTAGGTTTTTTAAGAGTGAATAGTAATGGACAAAAAAAAAGAGGTTGGTTTTGTGTTTGACTTGAAATTTTAGGTTGGTTTTGCAAAACCCCCTTAATTCTTTTGTAGAATTTATATATATGCATGAGACTTCAAAATATTATTATTATATTGATTTATGTAATTTTGAATAAAACACTTCACTTTATTATTTATTTCATGTTAAGCACAATATATATTAAGTTATACATAATTTAACTATAATATATTTACATATCTAAGACAATAACCAACCGAAATGAAAATAAGAAAATTAATTAAAGTTTTATTATATTTAGAATAAAAAATATTATAGCTGAACACGAAAAACAAATATCATCCAATATACCAAATTGATAATCAAACCGACTATTGATCCAGAAGATAATTAAACCGACAATAATATACCCAAAGTCATAAAATTTTTTCAAAACTAAAATTAAATATCAATCAATTATTATAAAATTTTACTTTTATGAATATTTATACCCGTGCATGAGCACGGGAAAATCACCTAGTATTTAAATAAATAAGAAACACAAAAAGAAAAAATATATTTTTTATTTTTTTTTCGATATTCAAATTCTAAACCCTAAACCCTAATCCCTAAACACTAAGATATCAATTCTAAACCCTAATCCCTAAACCCTAAACCCTAAGATATCAATTCTAAACCCTAATCCCTAAACTCTAAACCCTAACCCTAAACTCTAAAATTCTAAACCATAAACCTTATATTCTATACCCTAAACCCTAAATTCTAAACCCTAAACTTTAACCCTAAAATTATAAACCCTAAACCCTAAATTCGAAATCTTAAACCCTAAATTCTAAACCCTTAAACCCTAAATTATAAACCCTAAATTCTAAACCCTAAACTCTAAACCCTAAATTCTTAACCCTAGATCCTAAATTCTTAACCCTTAACCCTAAATTCTAAAATATATATTTTCTACAAAATTAATTAATGGTACTATGGTCTTTTGACTATCAAAATTTTAAGGGTAAAAATGATTAAATGTAAAAGTGAAATAATGTATCATGAATCGGCTAGTTTTAAAATAAATTGAGTGAAAAAACAATGTAAAACTTGCTTTTGTTCTTCTTAAATGAAGTGAGTTTTGTTACAATCTTACTCTATTTTGGAGTGAAAGTAAAATCATGAACAATGAATAAATACATTATCACACAATGGATTAAATCCATTTTACTCCATTGAGGAGTGAAAAATGAAGTATAGTTGAAGCATTTCTTATTTCACCTTGTCTGTGTATTAAAGAAAGAAACAAATCTCTGGTCTCAACAACTGATTAATGAATAAAAGATGAATAGTAAATTTTTCCAAAAAACAAAAAAAATTATTCACAGTAACATTTAGCACCATTGTCTCTACATGGAATTTATTGGCAACTATTTCAAGATTTAATTCCGCGATTCATTAGTGAACCCATGCAAGAAAAACAAGTCCTCAACAATCTGGAAATAAACTTTGATTTCAAAATAGAAGGACTAAACAAAAACATTGCTATCAATCTTTACAACTCATGAACACAAAAAGGAGTTTGGCTTTTAAATATTACCTCAGAAGCTGAGATCTTGATGTTTACAGATGACCCAGGCTTAACGACAACTTCAGAAACAGCTTCGTATTGAACCGGGTTCTCCTCTGCAGGAATGTACCTTCATCAAGCCACAATGCATTAATTAATTTTTTTTTGTCAAGCATTAATTACTTTTAGAGCATAGTATTGGGTTCTTATTTAGAATAGTCTCCTTGACATTAGCTGGAGGAGATATAACAAACTTGCTCTTGATTGACCGTGTTAGAAATGGAGACATGAAAGTGCTACCAGATTAGAACCCATTATAGCTCCAAGCCATCTCAAGCTTGTTTATTCCATGAGCTGGCCTGTGTGTGTGTCTTCTTCCAACATCGTCTCCGGCTTCTCATTGTGCACAATTTATTTTATTGAATCATTAGAAAATGCTTTCCACTCTTTAATATGAAAGGGTAATAATATTGTTCACCTCTTAGCTTCTCTAACTTGGCAGTTAACAACAGCTTTGGAATAGAGTTTCTCAATGAAATACATAGCATGTTTATGTATGTACTTACGTTGGATCTTGAGATAATCAATTCATAGGCAAGTCACATTTGATATCTCTCACTTGTAGTAAGGGAAGGCAGAGACACATACCAATCTTTCTGACGTGATTACCGCCATTCGTTTTATGGTGTAGCATTTCTCGGGTTTTTGGTGTGGCATTTCCCAAGGTGAAGTTTTCTGAAGAACTCAGCCATGAGGTAGGTGGAGTCCATATCCATGTACAAAGCTTCTCTGTTTCTCCAGCATTGCTCTCCTCCCACTCAAACTCTTCTGAGGTGTTCCCCATCTACCGCTTGTGATCACACAGCTTTGGCTCCTTCCAACTCTCTCGTGATGGCATTTCGCTGGTGGAGTTGGATAGTTTCGGCTCTCAGCTGTTTCTGCAGAGTACATTGTCTCTTCCTCGCTGCTGCATCCATGATTGTGATAAACATAGTGGTGAGCTTCTGGTGGTGGTGGTGAGCTTGAGATGACTTCACTGAGAGTGTGCCGTTCACTGAACCTTAAAACATTTCTCAGTCGTTACTCACAAATACACCATATTGCTTACTATTTTTTTATATAAAGCTTAGAGGTAAAAAGAAACGCCAGAGAATCAAGCGGTAAGAAACCGAGCTGGAACACACCTTTTCGTCAAGCTCGACAACATGAGGAACCTGATTCAGCTCACTGAACACAGATTTAGCTTTCCTGCAATACCTGTTGACACCAACCCAAGGATTCATAGTCATATATTATAGGTACGTGAGCTCACTACATAACTCTTAGAAAAGGCCAAAGCTTGAAGCTTAACAAATACATATCACATAACTGAACTCCAATGTTGATTAGTATCTAACGCTCAACATCAAGTTCAAACCATAACAGAATTCTCTGAGCTGAGGCATGAATACTATTTCAACACAGATTCATATATGCAATGTGGAGAGTTTAAAAAATTCACAGCAGTTATCACAAATTAGAGAAAGGATGAAGCCACAAACTTGGGGCAAGAAAGAAGGCTGTGAAAGTTCATTGGAATATGAACATGGGTGTTCTCTCAAGAGGAACATAACTTATCTATCAAAGACTTCTTTAGATCATCCTCACTTTGCAAGCTCTGATATCTAGAAACGCAAATGCGGAAATGCCAAATATACTGCAAAAATTTGCATATTATCATTTATCAACATTAGCAAAACACCTACAGCATTTACGTTTGAAACGTAAAGTTAGACATGAATAAACAGCTTACGCTGGAGAATCAGTGGTGCTTCTGGGGGAAGTTGAAGCTGTTTGAAACGTTCCGTAATGGTGAAGAGTCTGTCACACACACGCACATGAAAAATGATAGTTTCACAGAAAATGGTAGAACTGAGAAATAAAATCTCAACTCACGAGCAAAGAAGATGCATCTTTTGCCTTAAAAAGAAGTCCTGAAGAGCATTAACTTATATGACATTTGAGTTCATGCTCTTGGTTCTCCCAGCTGTGGCCAATGCTCCAGCTTCTTCGCTGATAACATCCAATAGTTCTTCCCTCTTCTCTTCTCCATCCAAAAGCTCTTGATCAAGATTTTAAACAATCAGTCTGAAGAAACCATAAATTACAAAACAGGGGAGGTCGTGAGACTTACCTTCTCCCATCGTCCATGAGAAGAGGAGATTCACAGAGACGGAGGGAGAGCTGCTTCTTGGAAAACCTTGTTTCTCTCTCTATCTCTGCTGGACCATAAAGCTCACAAAACACAGCTTAATACGAATAAACCAATCACAAGTTTTTGTTCTCATGTTTCATGTCATAAAAGAAAAACAACTAAAATCAAGTTAAATCAACATTCATTAGAGTGAACACCAGAACAAAAGTAGAATAATGTGAGTAGCCAACGAATTGAGATGGTAAGTTTACTGCATATTTAGAACAAATCAGCTTGGAAAGTTTATTGATTACCAACAACTCATAAGTTGGAAGCAAACATGACAATAAAAGGGAAAATAAAAATTGATCACAGAGAATGATAACAGTTTTGAAATCCAAAAGGGAGTTAACTAATTATCCTGTTTATCTGCGAGAAGCTCGTGGTATTGAGATTAATAGCAATTTAGCAGGCAAGAGGGATTAAAAACCTAATAATCTCAGGGAAGCATGAGTCGCCGAACAACCTCTTGAGAAAACGGCAACGATGTAGATTGTTGAATTTCAAGTTTGATGAAAAAATCGAAATTAACCATGACGGAGGAGGGGAGTGTATTGGGGTCAAAATTTAACCATGACGGAGGAGGGGAGTGTATTGGGGTCAAAATTGGTACAACGGAATCAATGACCAAACTTTCCGCAAAAATAAAACTATGTTTTATAAAACATGGGAAGTTGTTTTATAAAACCCTAAAGAATTTCCGAACAAAAGAAATCCACGAAAAACTTGGAAATTGTCATCTCGGAAAAACGAACAAAACAATCGCAGATTATACGGCGAGCTGAACCAACCCGGTTTGGCTCGTCGTACGTCGAGCTAATAGTCCTGAGCCGTGTTTCCCCGCATCCCTGACATAAGGCATACGTCCTTCAATTCGATCATGCCCTGAATCATGGTTGAAACGTCTCTCGTTTCATCTCGATCCGTCTCACCATTCGAGTTTTACGATAAAATCGTTAAAGTCTTCTTTTCTCGTAAGAATTCGGGAAGATCGTATAAAACGGAACCGATTAGACGAACATCGTACATTGTCAAGCTATATGATTAACTCGAGAAATCTTATAGAAACATCATCGTATCAGGAAATGATCTCGTCAAAAATCGTAAAATGGTTTTTATCGCAAAACGACTCGGACAGTCCTAAAACGCGATAAAAACCCATTTGCGATTTTAAACGAAGTCCAGCTCAAAGATATAATGACGGTTTGACGATTTACTCGCAGAAAGAAGATAATGTCAAGTTTGAAGATAAATGTCAAGTTTGAAGATAAATAGAAGATTTCCGCAAGGAAAATGGAAAGATTGAAATAAATGGAAGATTCCCGATAAACTCAAATCTGGGTGAAAAGGAAGGACTAAACCGCCTAAGGGGGGAGTATATAAGCAGAAGGCCAAGAATAGAAGAGGGGGACGATTTTCCAGTGCTCTCACCACCAAACTTAGCATTAGGAAACTTTCCGTTTTTGTTATCGAGCTGCGTCTCAACTAGGGTGTTAGTCTTAGATTGCTAGAACTAGGAATCTCACCGACGGCTCACGCAGCTAAGGCTTACTCTTGTTCTACCGTTCTTACGCGAATTCGGAATAAGACTCATTCTTGCTCTAAATCTCGTTTTATATACCTTTACTTTATTCTCATCGTATTCTTGATTGCTTGTGTGCGGTTCCGCAGATAGCCGGGTCCTCTGGGAAATTAGGATGTTCCCTAAGTTCCTAAATTTACGTAAAATCGACATGGGTGAATTTTGGTCCCCACAATTTGGCGCTAGAAGGAGGGGGGGGGGGTTGGATTTATTTTACACTCAAGCCGCAGCACGCTCGATCAAGTACGATGTCTGGTGAACAACCAACTCGCGACGAAAGCAACAACGTTGACACAAAACCACCACCAGATGTGTCCACGGTTAACGCAAACGCTAACATCGAGACCATCGAAAAGATGCTCTCCGACTTCAAAAAAAAGTAGGAAGAGCAAGAAAAGCTCATTGGTTCACTCGCAAAACATGTCAAAACCTTAACTGCGAAAAGCAAGGCAATTCGCCCCCGCGGAGCTACTAGAATCCGCGGAAGAAGGCTCGATTTCGCGACTCCTATGGATCGCCCCAGAACCGAGCAGGAAAATCTGCCAGAGAAAAACTCTGCAAAAGATAACCCTGACGCGACGCTGAACGAATCGGACAAATCTCCTACTTGCAGACAGGAGACCGAAGAAGACGGTGTCGAAAGGGTTAACCTAGAAACAAGCGACCAATACGATCCATTGGATGAAGACGCAGACATCCATCCGAGGAGGAGGAAAGATCGTAGCCCTCAACCAGAATCCTCTCCCGAGCGTTCTCTTACTGAGAACGAGGAGGAGCTTTACTGCGTGCAACACACCAAAGCGGCCGAGGAACGATCTTGAGTTACTCGCAGCAAACGCCGACAAGGTCGGAAATAGATCGATTGCTATACGAATCTTGGAAAACACCTTTTATGACTCGCATCACCTAGGTAAAGCTACCCGATCTAGGAAAACTCAGAGTGCCAACCTACGACGAGACGACCGATCCCAAAGCGCACCTGCAGACCTTCCAGATCACCATGGGATGAGCCAAGCTCAAGGATCACGAAAAAGACGCGGGATATTACCGTATTTTCGTCGAAAACCTAGAAGGAGCAGCGCTCGAGTGGTTCACCAAGCTTAAGCGAAATTCAATCGGGAGTTTACGCCAGCTTGCTTCCGAATTCCTGAAGCAACACTCAATGTTTATAAATTGGAAAAATTTCGACGCCGACCTCTGGAGATTATCCCAGAAGGAAGACGAACCTCTCCGCGACTTCATGAGCAAGTTCAAACTTATCATGGCTAGGGTTAGCAGAATAAGCGACAGAGCCGCCATCGACGTGCTCAAGAAATCGCTCTGGTTCAAGTCGAAGTTTGGAAAATGGATAACTCTCTAGAAACCGCGGACGATCCTAGATGCGCTCCACAAAGCTACCAATTACATAATCATCGAAAAGGAGACTAAAATCCTGTCTGAAAAAGCATAAGCCGGCGAAATCGCCCGCAAAGGACATCGTGTCCGAGCTGAGGCCGAAAAAGAAAAACCCTCATAACGACAAATTCGTCCATCACGAGGGACAAGATCTCCAAGGGGTGCACAATTACGCCATAATTCCGAATCGAAACTAGGGCGAAATACGGGGACCACGTGGTCAAGGAATCCGAATTATGACGAAAAATCCTTCTGCGATCTCCACCAAACTCGCGGACACTCTACCGTGAACTGCAAAGTTCTCGGCGCCAGACTTACCGCAAAATTGCTCGTGGGAGAATTCTCCGAGGTATCTAGCGTAAAGGACCTTATCCGCGATTCAAATCGCCCCCCGAAAAACGATAGGAACTCGCGAGCGGAAATCCCACCTCAAGGGAACCAGCCGGGTGAGAAGGGCGGACGAAGACAAGACGAGAAAGGTAACGACGCTAACCGCCGAAATATCAATATGATCATCGGTGAATCTAAATACTACAGCGATACCATCTCATCCATCCAAACCTACCAACGGAAAGCCGAAACCGGTTCAAGTTGGAACGTACCATCGGATAACACTCCAAAGGGAGTAATCGCTTTCGATGACTCGGAAACTGGCGGTATCGATCAGCCACACGCCGATCCTCTCGTCATCGACTTAGTCATAAGCGACTTAGAAGTTGCCCGAATCCTGGTCGACACCGGAAGCACTGTCAATGTAATATTCCGCAACACGTTGGCGCGCATGGGAATCGATTTATAGGAGGTCGAGCCAATACAAAGCCGTTGACCAGTTTCTCTGGCGAAACGGCTATGACTCGAGGATCGGTCCGGCTTCCGGTCGCCGCGAAAGAAGTGACAAAAATCGTCAACTTTGCAGTCGTCGATTCCCCAGCTATCTACAACGTGATCATGGGCACGCCTTGGATAAACTCCATGAAGGCTGTTCTATCAACGTACCACTTAGGCATTAAGTTTCTGACCCCTACGGGAGTCGTGGCAATTTGGGGATCCCAGAGATAATCGTAATCTTGCTTTTTAGCTGAACATAAGCTAAGGAAATTGTCGGTTGCAATTGTGAAACCAAAACGGGCGAAGTTAACACCACCGCCCGTGGAAAACGACCCCAAAACAGCAACAGTAGAGAAGCAGCAAGCTTCTGAACCCATCGCTTCTACCCAACCGGAGGAGACAAACCCGAACCAATATGCCAATCCAGCGACTAAAGTGATCGAGAAGTCTGCGACAGCCGAGTAAACACACTCGCACCAGCAATCAGAACTACGAGATGGCTTGATTTACAAAAGGAATACGTTGGCAGCTCGCCTAAAGACGAGTTCAGCTATCCCCCTTTCCAAAACAGGGGGGGAGTGGGTGCGTATACGAGTATTCGTATACTCCAAAATTTTAAAATATTCGCTTTGTAATCGAAATTTTCGAAACTTTTAATAAAGACAAAGTTAGAATATTATAAAATCTCTCTACTATCAAAAAGTGTAAAAACAAATTCCAAACATCCGGAAATTACTTTCGCAGTAACAACCACTTAATCGTTTTGACAAAAAACTTATACACCAAATATTTTTGAAAAGAACCGGCGAGAGTCGCCTAAAGTCTTAGAGAAATATTTCGCAAAGTCCCCCTGAGACTATAAAATCACAAACGCTCGACGATTGGCCCGGTCGAGCACGCTAACCGTCCTAAACAAACACATAGACCCATTGGTCCGCATTTATCTGACTAGGATAAAATAGCGCGTTATAAAAGAAATCCAAATTTTTGGTCAGCACTTCCGGGAGACTTAAAAATTTTCCTCGGTGAGATGCTCGATTCCAACCAGACGAATCGTATAAGCCGAGAACCTGTCGCGGATTCTAAATCGGTATGGAATCAGGTTAAAATCGCAACAGGCAAAACGAAATCCGACTACTCATTGC